ATATATATATATATTTACAATTTGAGTGATTTTTCCCATGACAGTTTGTACCATTCTAACTACACGTGGGCAACTACTTGGGTGAATAGCAAGACATGGAAGTACAGGGTCATGGCGATGTACATTAAAACATTCACTGATACCACTAAACTGTCCTCCATGACGTGTACCACTTGTATATGAATACACATTTTCCTACAATCATGTCAAAATCTGACACTAACCAAAGTTCAAGGCTTTTGCCAATTTAATGAGTATAAAATAGAGCATTATGTTCAATTTGCATTTACATGATTATAATAAAAACTGTACTAGGCGTAATCACTCAAATTACTAATTAAATAATACAGTGAGATAAGTAGTGCAACATAATACTGTCTATATACATTTAGAATAAATTGTTTTATTTTAAAATACACAAATGTGCGTTTCTTCTCCCACTTTTGGACATAGGCAAACAACTTCTTTCATTAAGGAACCAATGATTACAGGGTTTCACCTGCATGATCTGAATTGCCCATACCTAATGTGTATCTGAGATTCCTTGTTTTTGTCTTTTTAAATGAAACGAGATGGTAAAGACCTTGTGAAATAATCTGAGTGCATGATTTAATTTAGCAACAAGCTTTTAGTAACTTGCCTTCATCAAGGCTTTCCAAAGCCATCCAATTGAATTTTCACTGAAATAGCTCTTTTCACACTTGTTTTTCATTGGTTTGCACATTATTTAACTAAATTACACAATTATAAAGAAAATTAGAATAAACTGATTTGGGAACTGGCACATCAGCTCTTGAAACACAAAATTAACTGTGTGAGCAAAACCACAGAGGAGCTCCAGAGAGTTTCCAGCCATTCAGGCGAGCGGGGCTCAGTATCTTTCAGAGAAAGAAAGAGATGGAGTTGCAGAGAGCTGAGGAAGAGGGCACGCACTAGTGATGTGGAACATATTTCTATACGCTTACTTTTCAATATCTTCTATTGTGAACCATCTATTTTCTAATAGGTGTTTTACCTATTACATAATCCTGATAGTTCAAGAGATATGATGGCTGTCTCCTGTATCTGTAGTACTTCTTTCTTGAAATTCAGTCTTAGCCTGCCTTATTTATAATCATTAGAGACTCACTCTGTCCATGGTAATTTAAGCACCTTAAAGTGAGGGTCGACAGTTCTTTATTATGTTTTTCTTAGTTATTTACAAGTGTACTTTATAAGTCCCAGATATTAGTTTATCTTTTATTGATCATAAATGTTTTCTCCAGGATCTTTCCCATCAATTATTCCTGTTATTTTGTTTTGCAAAAATATTTAACTTTGATGTAATGAGAGTTTTCTTCATAGCTTTTGTTTTCTATGTCTTTGTTAAGGAAGACTCCCTTTGCTAAAATGCTAAACATATCCCCATATTAACATTTTATTCTAATACTCTAATAATATTGTTATTCTTGGGTTCTAGGTGAAGAATTTGGAGTTCAGAAATTGTAGATATCTGACCTAAGTTATAAAGCTAGAAATTATGATAATGGGCATATCATCTTTTTTATTATCAAAATATAAGCCAATGTTACTTCACAGTACCTTTCTTAAGATGAATCAAAGAGAGAAACCAAAGTAAGATGTATGGATGTTAAGCAGTAATGAAAATTGGAATAAATGAATATTTTCTAATTGAGAATGCATAAGTGACTGACATATAAATGTTTCATCATCAGCTTCAGAAATTCAGCATGATCTCCAGCCCCAGAAATTGCAGTCAAAGGGCTCAAGTGACTGGTGGTCTTAAGCATTTATTAAGCAACTACTAGGTGCTGTATATTTAATTTACATGCCAAAATATAAGATTTTTAGCATCATGAGCTTACAGGCTAAGAGAGAAGTGCATATGCAGCAAATTATTCATATTTGTTACAAAACAATTGTGCTGAGTATTATAAAGGAGAACACAAATATAATCAGAGAGAACAAAAGAGAACAAACTGAATTGATGAGGTCTGGAGAGGCTTCTCGTGGACTGAAACAATTAGCTGCAGTCTCAGAAACAAATAAGAATAAAGCAGGCAAAAATGAAAGGGTAGAGTATGAGGAAGAAGGCAGGTTCCGGTTAAGCTCTGAGGAAGCAAGTCCAGACCTTAGAACAACCCAAAGATCTCCAATGTGGAGGGATCTTGTGAGCAGAGGGCAGTGGCTAGGCATAAACCAAAGCCCCACATGAGCACAGACCACAAAGGGTGGGCCTTGAAGGGGACCTCATTGTCCTAGGATGCAAGTGTTGACTGCTGTCTCATTTGGCACTCTCATGTACTCAAAGTGTTCAGCAGTCAACCCAACCCAAATGTACACCTGCAGGTCCAACTACGCTAACTCATTCACTGAAGCAACAAGAATATACTGAGTACATGATGTGCTCCCAGTTACTGAACTCCACACCATCCTCTCTATACTTCCACTAGATGTCCCTACATGGATGCTCTACAAGTTCCTAAAGCTTTGCTTGCTGAAAACCAGACCCAGCTCTCACACTGTACCTTCAATTATGGTCACTGAGGTCACAAACCTTCTGTCTGCTAAAAGAAAGCGAGCTCAAGAAGGTGGGATTTATGTCTCATGTGTGATTATGTCCCCTAATTCTTAGAGAGCATGAGAATCTGGAAGTCACTGGTGTCCTGTTTATGTATTTGTTACGCTGTATAATGGATTAACATTCTCCCTTGTGTACCACCTCTTTTTAAGGGTAGGCAAGAATGAATGGTGAATGAATAAGCGCGTTATATTTTCATCAAGCACAATCTTCCTACTGATTTCTCCATTTCATCAAGGTCATCAATGACTTATTTTCATCACCACAAACTCATCATTTTTCTATGTGGTCAAAATAATGGTATTACTATTATCTCTTAATGCCTATGCTTTCTTTTAATATCTAATGAACTGCCAAATCCTGCTGCTTTGACTTCTGCAACTTTACTCCAGACTTTTCTATTTTCCCTGTCACTGCTTGCTTGGTTCAGGCCTATTGCCTCTTACTAAGACTATTATCACAGTGGCTCTGTCTTGGCTCCTTGTGCCAAAATACATTGTACTTGCTGCTGCTATATAAACTTCCCTAAACTACAATCTCATCCTGCCGATTCTTGGCCTAAAAACATCTGAAGCTTCTCTTTCATTGACTGCATTAATTTGAGACTTCTCTGCTGGACATCAAGGCTCTATACATTACCCCATCTACATTTTTATCGTATCTCTCATTGATTCCCTACTAATACCGTCTTCCTTCCCCAGTCAAGCAGGAGTATTTGTTTTATGCTTTCTATCTGTTACTCTGCCTGGGGCATCCGAGGTCATTTCGTACTTCAAGGGTCAAACTCATTCATTGCAAACCCATTCATAAAGTATATCCTGATGGTTCAAGAGATGTGATCGCTGTCTCCTGTGAGTATCTGCAGCATTAGTACTTCTTTCTTGTAATTCAATCTTAGCCTGTTTTATTTATAGTCACTTGAGACTCACTCTGTCCATGGTAACTTGAGCACCTTAAAATGAGGGTCAACGGTTCCTTCTCTTTCTGTTTCTCTGCAGAATCCAGCACAATGCCTTTTATGCAAGAGACAGTTGATGAATATTTGCTGAATCTAATTGTTTTAACTTTAAGTTTCTTAAGAAGTGCAAGTTTAAGTACTTTGTATCTTTCAGTGCTTAGTAAACGCTTTGTACATAAAAAGTACTCAAAGAATCCTTTTTAAATAATTTCATGGTTCTAAAGCAAAGTTTGCTAAAATACATGTAATATTGGCATTAATCAAAAGTATTCATTTAGCTATCTCTCACAAATTAACATAAAGAAAAAAGAAACTCTGATTCTAACGTTCTTTATTTTTCCCTTTTGTTTACTGACAATGCCTAAGTCTCTCACAAGTTCTTATGTTATGCACAGTACTCAAAAGCGTTAACCATCTTCTCATGTAGCACTCACAACACTGTCAGAAGGCGCTGTTTTTTTCCCTATTTTTTGGGTGCAAGATTTAAAGAAGTAAAGCAACTTGATCCCACAGTGAACAACTGGCAGAGGTGAGATTTAAACCCAGGTAGCTTCTGCCTTCAAAGCTGAAAGTCACACGTAGATATTTTTTATCTATTAGAGATGGAATAATAAAGTGTAATATGTATATTGATTCACATTTTTATGAGTTTCTTAACTTCCTATTTTATATCACTACAATTCTCACACTAAGTCAAAACCTACAATATCTTTAACATTGTGAATGCAAAGTACTAACTCTTTTAACAGAGACCTACCTTAAAAGTACATTATTTTCCTTTGAAAGGCAACTTCCTCAGTATTACTTGTCTAGAATAATTAAACTTTTCCATTGTTCCCGACCTGGATAAGAATTAAAGAGGCAGAAAGGGGGAAAAAAAATCTCCCTTCTCTAAATCTCAATCCTACATCATCATGCCTTTTTCCTCCCTAAATTTAGGTCTCTTAAAACATTAATAATTTTGCTTTATTTTCCCTTGAGCCTTCCCTATCTAGATTAGAGAATGACTTATTCAGAGACAAACAGGATACAGGAGTAACAGTGCAGCTTCCAGGAAAGCTATAAATAGTGGCAGTATTTTCAAGAAATCCTGCACCGGTGTGTAAGTTGCGGTATAAACATGCACTGCAGACTTTATTACAATGGTGTCACCAAAATTAATTGTTAAATGAGAAATTCAATTCTTACCAAGTTTTCTTGGTTCCTGGCTGCTATTTTCTGCTCTTCTTCGGCCCCATTTTTCATGTATTTGACCTCTTCCACTGGTTTGATCCTATACTCATCTGAGTGCCAGAAAAAGAAAACATGTCTTAAAAAAATTTTTTTTCCCCACAATGGTAGGCAAGTCTCAGTTATAAGCGCCAAATGGTGTAATCTGATAGAACCTTCCCCATAAGGCCTTTTATATGTGGTTCACATAGAACAGTCAGGGAGAAGCTTGACCTGACACCTTGGAGCCTTTTAGCAGGTGTGCTACTTTGTCTTCTGGAAAAAGCTCAGCATCAGAGTTAATGAAGGTGTCACTGCCTGGTTCTTTCTCAGAGAAAAGAAGTCACTCTGTCTCTAAAGACTATAGGAAATACATATGCACAGGAACCCATCACATAATGGCCTAAGAAGATTGTGAAGAATATTCTTTTTTCCCCCCAAGAGAATATTCATTCAAAATGTTTGCAGTGGCAATTTTCAGAAGTATGTACACGTCTTCATTTCTTCTTTTGGAAAAACATAGTACTGTTTATGACTAAGGAGTTCTAACGATAAACAAATATATGTGCTGCTCAAGCAAGTACACTATAAACAGGCGCAAACAAATGGGAACTAAAAAATTTTTTATGAGTCTTATGCTAAATTTGAACATTATACAATTATTGCATATATTTATTTCTTATACATATATATATATACACACACACACACACTTTAATCTCTCTGCAAAGCACATTCATATTTAGTCATAATATCTACTAGATCTGATAAGTATATCTTTCAAGGCTGGAGAGTATAGAGAGTCATGGGAACCCAGTCTTTCCAACAGCCAGGGGACATAAATCCCACTATCAATACCATCACTGGAAAAATTCAGGAAAATTTGCAGCTAAAACACTTCTCCAGGATAGAGGTTTGGTGATAATGATGGTATTTTCTTCAGGTTCTTGTCAACAGGAAATGACTTGGCAGACTAAGTTTAAAAATTGGTTTGAGGCCCTTCATTTAGCTCAGTGGCACCGCACCTGCCTCACAAGTGCAAGGTCCTGAGTTCAATCTCTGGTACTGTCCCCCGACCAAACACACACACACACACACACACACACACACACACACACACACGATTTGAAGCTGGGCATGGTGGTACCTACCTATAATCCTGGCACTCTGATGGCAGGAGTATTGCCATGAATTCCAGGACAGCCTAGGCTACATAGTGAGTTCAAGATCAGCCTGAACTATATAGTGAGACTGTATCAAAAAACAACAACAAAAATAAATAAATAAAAAAGGTGTGAATTTGAGTTATCTTTAATTTTGGGGGAATACAAAAAATTATAGAATGAGAAAAATTCATCAACCACCAATCTCATGATTGCCTGTCATATGGTATGGATAATATCTAACTATGAGGGACAGCTGTTTATCAGTAAGAAAGTTCATATTTCATGTTAAGAAGTTGTAATTATTTTCTTGTTATCTATGATTAAATGGGTACAATGACTATATTCTTATAGATCCTTGTTTTAGCATATGTAATACCACTTTCTAATGTAGTTTCAGGTTTCTTCACACTAACCCTTAACATACTACTCTCTCAGATGCTGTTTATGACTAAGGAGTTATAGTAACAGTTATAGGGCTGGGGATTTAGCTCAGTGGTTCTGCCGCCTGTCTGCAGCGCAAG